ATGATTGATCCTGCCAAATCTACCAAGAAATCCTGAAACGTTACACCGTTGTGCTATGGTGTCTTGGATTCGCTATCCATTGGTACTACTACTTTTTTGAAATCCGGAAACTCATATTTTTGACCTATTGTTGTCGTCGGTGATTACCCCAGATTTTAAGTATCCTGGAATAGACAATTACACAAACCATCACAGAAACCCAGGCTAGGGGCGCTTATATCTTCTCATTTTTCTCTATAAATCCCACTAAATAACTAAGAATCTACTGTTGCTGAGATTCCTCTATCCCGAGATATACTCGCTCTATATTGAGTTTAACTATGGTCTCCACCAAAACCATGATTCCCTTCACAAAACCACAAAATTAGAGACCTTTTTTACCTTTACATATACATTGGCATTCCAGCTATCTTGAGCAATTGTTAGGCTCTCAAAATCCGAAAATTAGATCCACTAGGGTACTACTATTTTTGCCATCAATTCCACTTTTGACCAACTTTAATTACCATTATCTTAAGCAAATCAAAACTTCTGTGAAAAATGATTATAACCAGGTAAATGAGAGCACCTCAAAGATGCTATATGCGTTGTTTCAAAACAATACAAGCTCAAAAAAAATTTCAGTTCCTTAGTTGAACAAAATTTTTGGACCACCATAGTGAACAAAATTGCGTATAGTTCAAGAATACAAATAGATATCGACTTAAACGTTTTCATTCGAACTACAATCAGAGCGTTTTGTGAGACTTGAGCTTCATTACCTTTGATAGCAGCAGTTTATTAAGTGTAATCAGTATAGCCAGAATCAGCCAATAAATGAGTAACTTCATTCATTGAATTGGTATCAGAAATGTTAACTACACCTGTAATTGAATCAGTTCTGTGTGAAGTTTGAGCATCAATAATTGAAACATCTAATGGGGTGTTTCTAGCCAAATCTCAACAATTTATCATTCTTAACATTGGTGACCAATGGAATAGCATAATCAACAGCCATACGACGAGTTCTGTGGCCTTTTGAAACATAGTTAGCTGTACGATGGTATCTGTTAGAAGATGGTAAGTTGATGTACAAATCAACCAAATTTGGCCAAATGCATGTTCTTTGATGAAATCAATACCAGCAGTGGCAAATAAGTTGTAACATAATTCACTTAAACCTCTAATTGAAGGTAATAGTTTCAGTTTATCTTTGGTAAATGAAAACCAGTAGAAATCAATGATTTCAAGTAAGCTTCATATTTGTTATGACCAAATGTAGCAACTTCACCAGTAGAGGCCATTTCAACAACAAAAATTGGATCAGCATCAGATAAACGTGAAAATCATCCATTTCAACTTCCTTAGCATTTTCAATTGGTGATAACAACTGGGTAATCACGAGAAACTTCAACAGCCTGGTCCATACTGTCAACAACATCTTGAGAATAGTGATATAAATTATGCGGTAAGATACCAATATCTTGTGGAATGGTTCTAGCAGTACCTGGATGATCACCAGTCAACATATGAACATTTCTTAACACCACCTGAAGATTCTAATCTTGGAGGATTATAAATATCAACCAAACCCAATAATGTTGAATCAAATTCAATAATTTCACGAGTTTTGATATCATGATCTTTTGGAATAGTCTTTGCTGCAGATGCTAAAACTCTTAAACCATTAATCGATAATGTATTCATATTCTTTTCAATAACTTCTTGATCTTTAGCATTGAACCAGTTTGTAATTCAGAATCAATATCAATAGACATTGAAGCTTCAGTTTCGTTCAAACCCAAAAATGATATCAACAGAGAAGAAAACTTTTCAAACGGCTTCCTCAAAGAAAACATTCCATTGACGATGATAATAAAGCCATTGATGAACTAGAGACTGGTAATTTTTTTGATCTTAGTCTTCACAACAACAACATAATTCACAGATTGCCAAACTCTTCAAATCCTCAAAATATCAAAACATCATAATTGATCTCATAAATTACCACCACACAAACCACTGAAGTCAGTATTTACATTATCTATTGGAAATCACCATATACTTACTTTAGATCATTGTTGTTTTGGCTGTTGTTGTTGATCTTCTTTCTGCTGTTGTTGTTGTTGTTTGTTGTTGAAGAAAACAAGAGGCGAAAATTTTTCGACGACATTTTTCAAAACAAACATGACATTCGAGGGGCTGACCGGAAATTGATTTTTAACTACTGGAGAATCTTTGGAGGACGTAAAACAACACAATATAGATCATTTAATGAGCCAGTAACAAGCTCAGTAGTAAATTAAGCTGCTGAATAGCTACAGCCAAGTTTTGGGAGAGATAGAGCTACAATTGGGTAAGCTGTCATGTGATTTTGTCCCATTTTGAAATTCGCGGAACAACATGAACAACATAAACAGTGACATTTCCACAGACTGAAGCATTTCTTGATATTCTACAAATACCAGGTTATTCGGTGCCCTTTATTACCCTAATAAATTCTCTCCTGGAGACTCATAGCCTCTTGTAGCGATTTCCATTTGGGTTTCAAAATTCAAATTTTGAAGAATTTTAAGAAGTACATAAAACATCATTACTATACCAATTGCTATTTCTGAATCCTCATTAGATGGAATTTATGGTTAAATGCATGCCATAATTCCACA